GAACGGGGCTTGTCGCTATCGCCGCTCAAGTCTCACCTAGCGGCCATCTCTTGGCAGCTTCAACGGACAGGGGACGCTTCCTTGTTCAAGGATAGCTCTGTGAAGTCTTTCCTGCGGGGTTTCAACAACCTGCACCCCCAGTCCGTTCCCCAACTCCAGGCTGGGACCTCAACCTCATCCTGGCTCGGCTTGCTCAAGCGCCCTTTGAACCTTTGGCATCGATCGACCTTCGGCTGCTGTCGTGGAAGGTAGCCTTTTTGGTTGCTATCACCTCGGCCCGTCGGCCGTCGGAACTCGCGGCACTGCGTGTGGACGAACCATACTTTGTTGTCCACGAGGACAGGGTAGTTCTCCGCACAGATGTGACATTCCTCCCTAAAGTTGTATCCCCTTTCCACGTTAATGAGGACATTGTCCTTCCCTCGTTGTGCCAATCTCCCTCTACTCCGACGGAGAAAAAACTTCATATGCTCGATGTGCGGAGAGCATTACTGTGTTACAGAGACAGAACTGCTCAGTCTCGAAGAACCCAACGACTGTTTGTTGCATACGCCCATGATAAGGTGGGCTTGCCGATTACGGCACAACGCTTGTCTCATTGGATCACTTCGACCATCGAGCTTTGTTACCAGCTGGCTCGACAACAACCTCCCTCGGTCGTCCGGGCTCGGTCAACCAGGGCTATGGCGGCATCGACAGCCTTCCTTAAAGGAATTCCGCTGGACGCTATTTGTACGGCGGCCATTTGGAAGAATCCCCAGACATTTGTTTCACATTACAGACTGAATACCAGGTATACACCTGACATGGCCTTTGGGAGGGCAATCCTGGAGTCGTGTTCGCATTAGGACCCTTTGGGGTTATTTTGTTGCACCGATACCGTGAAATTTTTTTTCGGTACCTTACATTGTTGTGACCTTTATTACCATGTGTTTGCTTGATTAGAGCTGTTTACCAATGATGGTGAATGTAAAATGTGCCTGTTGTACTTGCACTATAGCCTCGTTAGGCTCATTACGGGTAGTGCTTTGTTTCGCTATCGACCATTGTGCCTTCCAAATGTGTTTTTGCACTTGTTAACAATAGTGTTTTGTGTAACTACTTAAAGTGCCCTCATTGCAATGTTTTCGACAATCACGATGTTGTTCGTTTCTAAGGGTCAAAGTTTATATAATTGTTCAAGAATGCCCTCGATCATCTTTCACTGTGAATTGGCCACCCCCACGTGGCCGGGAGGAACACGTACTCCCATAAGTTTATGCACTGTGCCCTTCTTCGGAAGTGATTACAATCTCTTGTTTGATAACTGTTTGCACTTAATAAAATTGTTTGGCCTTTGGCTTTATTGGTCGGTTTGCCTTCTTCCCGCCTCTGGGACCTAAGCTTGCTAGTCTCCACAAGTGTGCATTCGCAGAGACCACGAAGAAAAATGGTAGGTTACATACCTGTGACCATCTTTCTTCGAGTGGTGCTCTGCGAATTTACACTAACCCGCCCAGCCTCCCCTCAGTCAAACCGTCAATTTCTCGTTGCCGTAGCGGCGTAGGAATTGTGTCGGTATGCGCAGGGCGCCCTTTTATCCCCTGCCGGGGCTGGGCGGGGTTACCGCCAAAACTTGAAAAGTTTAAACTGTAGAAGTTTCCGTTGGAGCCCGCGCAGGCGCAGTCTCTCCACAAGTGTGAATTCGCAGAGCACCACTCGAAGAAAGATGGTCACAGGTATGTAACCTACCATTCTTGGTTTAGAAAGTCGTCTAGTATGCAGGTTTTTACGGTAGATGAAAGATGGACTCAAGGATGGCAATCTTACCATTATTTTCCAAGAATCCCAAAGATGTTGTATATAATATTGTTTCCTTACAGCAGTGAGCCTCAAGCATTTCCAGAAAGACACACAGGCCCACCCATTCTTCTCTTCAGATTTGATGTCTCAGTTCTCTCACAATTCCACGGAGTCATGCCAGAGTAGTATTACACTAACTTTCAACAGGATCTAAACCCAGAACTCTGGGACTTATCTTTTATTTATTTATCATGCCAGTAACTTACCAGTAACCAACAACTTACCTGGGAAAAGTCTGGCTTGAGGGGTGGATTCTCCCTTAGCTCAGGATCCATATATTCATTGTTAACATAGTACCCAATACGGATAAATTCCTGTCCCAGGTAAGTACAAGTGATGAGTATTACTGTAACTCCCACAGCATCACTCTCAGGGATCAGATCAGGATTGGGGGCATTGGCCTAAAGAGGAAAGGGAGAACAGAACAAAATAAATGACAATTGTATCAAGACCCTCCTTCCAAAATGCCCAAAGTTTTTTTCCTATTTAGTCCTACTCAGTGACACATATCCAAAATACTAAATAGCTGTTACCTTTGAGCTCCTATAGACTGAGCAGAAATGTCAATAAAAGTCTATGTGGCCCTTGCCTAAGCTATTCACTACACCACACTACTCCATTGCAAAGCATAGGAAGTTGCTTTACACCAAACTAATATGTTGGTCCATTTAGCAGAGTGATACCAACTGGCAGTGGTCCTCCACAGCTTTAGAAAGGCCTTTTGGGGCTTCTCCACAGCTTTAGAGAGGCCTTTTTGGGTTTAACTTAAGAAACGCCAGCAACTGAACTTGGGATTTTCAGACTGCAATATACGATTTCATTCACTGAGCTACAATTCATTGACCCTAAAATAAAGATACAACCTGGGATGGGCTATTTTTTAAGAAAAGAAGTTTTAAATGACAAGACAACAAATATCAAAATTTTATTAGTCTCATACTTATGTCTGCTCCCTCTGAACCTAAGGACTGTTCACTTTTTCTTGCCTATTTCCCTTTTAACTTGTTTTAACAAATTACACTTGTCTTTATCCCAGTCGTATTGTCTAACATCTATTTTCCACTAAAAGTCCTGTTATAATTGATGCAAACATTAATCTGTTTCATGTCCTATCTCCTAATAACTTCAAGTAATGATTTCTGAATGCCTTGTTTTTCTTTTGACCTTTTGAAAAAGGCTCAACTGTTTGCAGTAGTTGCTTTTCATCTGAGCGCTTTAGAATATTTTTAAAAATTGTAACATTTTGAGCTGTCTTAATAGCATCATTGTGGGAGAAACAGAATCTAATTCAAATAGCATCAGCTGATCTTCTGCTGAAACACTGGGTAAATGAAACAGTTTGGGATGGGAATCCTAACATCATTGATTTCCTGGCTGAAGGGTCAGGAAGAAAGTGTTCCTTTCTCTTTGACTTTTCTACATTACAGAGGGGTCATCAAAACATAATAAAGAGGCTGTACAGAAAGGCCTAACAACTGTGTATGTTATAATTAAACAAAAATGTAAGATGAATCATTGGCATAAAGAAAAAGGGGCACCAAATATTTGCAGGGTCATTTATAATAATAGGCTAATATTTCAGGATATAATGCCAGCAGTATGGTAGATTGGGTCAATGTACCTAAAAGGCAAAAGATCTTGTCTGATCTTGAAAACTAAGCAAGAGCAGCCCTGGTTACAACTTGGATGGGAGACTGTCTTTGAACACCAGGTGCTGTAAGCCGTATTTCAGAAGAAGGAACTAGAAGAACACCTTGAGTCTTCCCAGTATAAGAAAAAATGTGGAGTTGCCCTAAGCTGACATGTGACTTGAATCACATATACACACAAAAGTGAAAATAATTGTAGCGAACCTATTGGCTTCCATGTTTTTAGATTCCCGTTACCATTATTCCTGATCACTGGCCACACAGCCTTAGTCTGTTCCCTTATTCTCCTCTCTTCCCACCATCCACTCTTTTGGACTTTCCTCTCCTTTCTGCAAAATATAGTTGATAGCTTACTTCAAACAAAAACATATGTCTCCCAGCTGGAACAGGTCCCACCAACACTGAGTCAAGAACTTGGTCATATTCCTCACTCTCTGCAGAACCCACATAGATGATCTTCCACTCCAAGTCTGAAAGATAAAAATGTAGTCAGCAGAACCGTAGGTACTATAATCTTCGATCTCTGTGGGAAACATATTTATCCCCATCCTCAGAAGGCAAGTCAATACACTAAGGAAAAATTGAGTTAGTGTCAGTGTTTGAAGAACTATATATACACATGCTTGCAGAATGTTCAAGAGCTAGGCCGAGGATGTAAGAATAAGCAACGGTCAGCTCTTCTAATTTCCGATGCGTTGTAACTTCTGGTAGACATAATTGCATTTCACCAAGCCTGGGCAGGGAGAGGAAAGTCCCCTTCAACAGATGCAACTATCATAGAGTAGCTGAGTTAATTAACAATCAATTTTGTGAAACCCATTTTCTTTAGGGAAGTTGGACACAAGGAGAGCTGTCTGAGTTTACTGCAAAAGCGAGACAAACTCTAATTGACCCATGTCCATCACATCACCAAGACTCTTTTCCTAATCCTTAGAGCACTTTTGGAGCCTTTAAAGGAGTGTTTCCATTTTTTAAATGTGGACAAACATCAAATAAATATGCATGTGAAGCTCTCAGATTTTTTTTTAAAAAGAACTCTAGGCAAGTTGCCTGAAGCATGGAGGAGGAACAAGACTGACAGTTAACCCTGAGTTCAGCTAGAACAAGTATACATCTATCATGCAAATTACAAAGCGGGAGGAAGCCCGGCTCTCAACAGGGGTAAAGAATCTGCTGCAGTTTCTCTTTAAATATTATGCCTGCCTTCAGCCTTTATGGATCATCTCATTAGGCAAAAGTCAGGAAACACTGTGTGCAATCTGCTATAATAGACCACCGGTGCAGCAGTGAAGGTTAATACTTCTCACATGTGATACTGCTAGTTACAAGAATGTATGTATATCTAAACATCAGGGGTCACAAGTAGGCAAAATGAAGCGTATCATGTTTTAACACCAAAAACAAAGGGAGTCAAAAGGGACACTGGAGAAAAGGAAGAATGACGAAAAGTAACAAAGAAACGTAGCAACCTGAATGGAATCTCAACTTTGCAATATGTGTTTGTTTTCAAGAATGTTTACAGACATGTTGTATTTTTGTTTTAGAGCATAGACAACAGTACCAAGGCACCCTAAACATGGCACCATTTATAAATTGCTCACCATTTATGAATATTTAGGAAAAGGACCTGGACTATCCTGAAAGGGGTCAGCCCAGATCTTTCTACTACAACACTGATAATAATAATGATCTCCCCCTACTATCCCTGCTCAGTCTGCCCCAGCTTCCAAGACCAGATAAAAGACCAAAATAGTCAAAAGCCCTAAATGAATTCTAGTCTACCTCCCAGAATTCTGGATTTTAATATGACTTGTGGGGATCATTCCATGAGGGGGAGAAAGCAGCAATGCTACTTCAGGGGGGCATACTGGCATGTCCTTGTCCAGGCATCCAAAAAGGCCAGAAGCAGCACCATGTCAAGAGGGAGTGGAGGGGGTTGCTGCTGCTTTTAGGTCGGACTAAATTCATGCCTTTTGCCACTTTACCACTGAGAGAGGAGAAGGGTTCTTATTTTAAAATAAGAGTTAAGGTCCAATACTCACACTGACCAGTGATAAGCTGGCCCAGTTTTTTATATAGGGTATGCTAGAGAACAGAAGTTCAGAAGCAATTTGATTTTCAATTTCTCTGTCCAGATTCAAATCCTTTCAAATTATGTAGGCCGCTATAAGTATTTTTAAAAAGAAAATCCACGTATTGAAAATGGGCAGATTTATTTTCATTTTAATTCCACTGAATACAACTTACCCCAAGCGCAAGTATATTAGGGCTCACATATAATATATATCATGAAATGGCCAGTGTTGGTGAAAAACATATGCAATAATAAGGATGTTAGTATTTGAGGTACCAAATGACTTTTATTGCTAATGCACCTATCCCTCTGGAAATAGCAAAAATTGAAGAAACCAAATGTGCACAGTGAGAAGCCAAGTACTATTAAAAACTGCAATAGTCCCTCCTATTTTAAAGAATGATCATTGTTGACGTGTTTGTGTTGTTTTGGGCACTGAATGTTTGCCTTTTTTTCTGTGTGTAAACTGCCCTGAGTCCCTTCAAGGAGAGAAGGTGGTCTTGAAATAAAGTTGTATTATTATATATGGTCAACATTCACCACTTTTACCAGTTAACAAAACCCTCTCTTGTTATAATAACAGCTAACACAGCTGCTGTTTATAAGGAGAGAAGGGCATTTAACATGTTCTCTGCAAAGATGCAGCATGGCCAAGGGCAGAGTATAGGTATTCTACTCAACACTAGTCAACGTGGTGGCCTATACACCAATGCCAGTCCCTGGTAAGCTTCCAGGAATGAAACAACTGTAGCCAGTGATCATTAATATGATACCATTCCCTGGCACATTTTGAGTCAGAAACTACCAGTTAATCACATCAGCTAGCTTATGAAGCACTATTTTAGATAGATCTGGTGTGAATTATTAGCAATTTTCTCATCAAATGTGCCAGGGAATGGTACCATATTCTGCCACTTTGTGTCTCATTAAGAGAGTTATAGCCTTCTTTGGACAGAGTGGCTGGCTTCATGGGTGTAGATTCCAGATTACTTCCTTTTCACTTTTTCTCCCCTAAATGGGTGCACATGGTCCTCTCCTTCATTTTTATCCTTACAACTACCATGTCCTGTGTGCTATGTCCTGTGTGCTTTTCCACTTGTTTGTTTATGTGACCCCAGGCATATGGGTGTATAAAATAGGTATAAAAATGAAACATTTACAGATAACAAGTCAACATTTGCAGGGTTTGCTAAACAAGCTAATTTCCCTTTTTTGTGGAGTACAAGCTGAGACATTTTCTGCAGAGTCCACTGTAAACACTGCTCGTTGTTGCTAACAGATTTTTGTAAATGGGTGGTTTTCAGAAAACTCTTACCATGGCCAATTTTTTGTGACTCCAGCATTGAGCAAAGGGGACTCCATTTAGGGCTGGGAGCAACAGTTTATGTGGCACTGAGCTATACTAAAGAGCCACCTTCTGTTCAGTCTCTGGGCCAAGCCCCTGGTGGCACAATGGTGTGCCAACAGGACTGCTGACCGCAAGGTTGGCAGTTCAAATCTGGGGAGCGGGATGAGCTCCTATCAGCTGCAACTTCTCATGCAAGAAGCCACCCACAGGATTGTAAAACCTGGTTGTGCAGGCCTGAACTACATCATTAGGAAAATGTGATTAATATGAAGACATTGGTTATTATGTTTTTAATGGGGTGAATGTAAAAAGAGAGGGAAATGTATAGTATATGTCTGTATAACTGTATTTTCTCTTCTCAAATAAATTTTTTTGAAAAATAAATGCTTTTTATTGTATCTTGTGAATTGTTATGGCATCAAATTGCTGCCAATTTGTAAGCCATTTTGAGTTGCCTTTGGGCTTGAGAAAGGTGGGATAGAAATATCGTAAATAAATAAATAACAAATAAAAGCTCTAGGCGTCCCCTGGGCAATGTCCTTGCAGGTGGCCAATTGCATTTTCTCAAGGAAAAAAAGATGTATTTGGGCCCTATCACGCTACACAGTGATAAGGAGATTCTTCCACTTTAACTGCAATGGCAGCATCCTATGTAATCATGGGATTTGCAGTTTAATGAGGGGCATTGGGAATTCTCAGCCAGAGAGCTCTTGGGCCTCACTAGACTACAAACCCCAGGATCCTATAAGATGCCAGGCAATTAATAATAGTGCTATAACAATGCAGTGTGGCAGCAGGGCCTTTCCCCTTGCAGAAACTTCTCTATGCTACGCCACCCCACCTTCGTAGGAGGCCTTTTGGGGCCTGCAGGGTGGTTCTGGATGTGTGCACGCGCCTTCATCCTACCACTCAAGGCAGGCCTCATCCACACTAACCATTTAATGCAGTTCCAAACTGCAGCGGCCAAACAACGAACTCCCACAAAAAGAGCGCGAAAAAAAGCCCTTGATGTGCTCCAGTGCTCTGTGGTCACCATCTGGGCCTCAAACTGAACCCAGGAGTAACCACTTTCTTCCATACTGGTTCGAAACTGAATTTAAATGGTCAATGTAGACGGGGCCTGAGTGCCGAGCTCGTGGTTTTCTCAGCAAGAGGCAGTTTGGCAAAGTCTTCGCGGGGAGGGGGGGGGCGCGGGGCTGGGGGCACTCACCGTGGGGCAGCGCCTCTCCGCACTCGAACTGCACCTGGAAGCGGAGCGGGTGGCCGAAGGGGCTCGGGTTCTCCAGCAGCGACACTCCCAGGACCGACACCCGCGCCATCGCAGCAGCAGCAGCAGCAGCACCCACAGCCGCCTTGCTCCTTCCTTTCCTTCTCGGGGCTCCAACCGCTGCCTTGCCGCCCTCGCCCCCGCCAACCACTCACACACATACTCCGCGCGCCACCGGCTGAGTGACAGATAGACCCCGCCGCCAATCCCCGCAAGGTACTCCGACCGCCTCCGCCAATCGGCTTGCTTCGCGCCTGAGTTCATCCGCCTACTCTTCCCGCGGGGCCACGCCCACTCTTCCCTCCACCAATCCGCCGCCTGGGTTTTGTCCCTGGCGGGAGCTAAACCTAAACAATCAACGCTTGCGCCCTCCTCCCTCCTTGTCCTCTCCGCGCGCCAGTCTGTCTCCGGCCGCCCAACCGCCAATCAGCGCGCGCTCTGCCGCCTCCTTCCGCGCGCCTGAAGAAGCGGCAGCCAATGGAAAGCGGAATAGAGGGCCAGCGGGTTCCACATCATCGCCAGGCCCTTCTGTTAACAGGAGAAACCCGATAGCCTTGCCAAAGGCAAAGGGAGCAGGAGAGTTTGGGGCTCCCAGCAGTTCATCTGGCGCTCGGTTTCCGTTCGCCAAGGGATAAAAGATATCACAGTCCTGGGTGGAATGGGTGAAAGAGCGTTCTCAGACTGGGTACATCTATACTGTAGAATTAACGCAGTTGGACTCCACTTTAACCTCTATGGCTCAGTGCTATGAAACCACGGGGTTTGTACTTTGGTGAGGCCCCAACATTTTGGATGAGAATGATATATGTGAGTGTGTGTGTTTTAATCTATGTATTTTCATGTTCATTTGTTTTTGAATTTATTGAGGCAGATAAATAATAATAATTATTATTATTATTTGAAACACAACAAGATGAGTCCACAGCAGACAAGATCACTCTGCTAGCTGTTGAATTGGATCACACGGACACTTTCCAAGTGTCTAGGACTGTGTGATGTATCGGCAAATAATGCGTGCAAGTCCCAGTAAGGTGGCCTTCTGCAGCTGGAAGATGGTAATTTTGTCAGCGCCGATTGTGTTTAAGTGCAGGCCAAGGTCTTTAGGCACTGCACTCAATGTGCTGATCACCACTGGGACCACCTTGACTGGCTTATGCCAGATTCTTTGCAGTTTGATCTTTAAATCCTCATATCGTTCAGCTTTTCCAGTTGTTTCTCTTCAATCCTGCTGTCACTGGGATTGCAACATCAACAATCCACACTTTGTTTTTTAACACAATCGTGAAGTCAGGAGTATTGTGCTCCAAAACTGTCTGTCTGAATTCGGAAGTCCCAGAGGAGTTTGACGTGTTCATTCTCTGTAACTTTTTCCAGCTTGTGATCCCACCAGTTCTTTATCACAGGCAGATGGTATTTGTGGCACAAGTTCCAAGGAATCACCTGAGCAATGGTGTTATGCCTCTGCTTGTAGTCTGTCTGTGCGATCTTCTTGCAGCAGCTGAGGATGTGATCTGTTGTTTCATCTGCTTCCTTGCAGAGTCTACATTTGGGCTCTGTTGTCGACTTTTCAATTCCGGCTTTGATGGCATTGGTTCAAATGGCTTGTTCTTGGACTGCCAGAATCAGGCCCTCCATCTCCTTTTTCAAAGTTCCACTTGTGAGCCACATGTTTTTTCTTTGTCAAATTATTATTATTATTATTATTATTATTGTTATTATATACCTTATAAAACTTGAATTCCCACGATTCCATAGTATTAAGCCATGGCAGTGAAGGCAGTATGCTGAGCACCCTTGGGCACACTATGTCCCAAACTGGACTTCCAGATGTTTTGGATTTCAGCTCCCAGAATTGGCCAAACAGGCTGGGGCTTCTGGGAGCTGAGATCTGACTGAAGGTGAATGCTTCAGAACCATTGGCTTGGCAGAAGCTGCAAGATCACATAAGGAGATTTGGTTTCATATAAGTAAAGGGTAAAGGTTTCCCCTGACATTAAATCTAGTCGTGTCCGACCCTGGGGGGTAGTGCTCATCTCCATTTCTAAGCCGAAAAGCCGGTGTTGTCCATAGGTCATGTGGCCAGCATGACTGCATATAAATACTTGCATTGCCTAAATGTCAGTGGGGCTATTGCTCCCCTTCTTCATCCCTTCTTTTTCTTTCCTCCCCTCATCTCATACTTTCCCACTTTCCTTTCTCTTCCTTCCCTTCTTTTTCTTTCTATTTCCCTCCTTTTCACTCATACACAGGTCGCCTTCACTTAGCAACAGTTATTTCAGTGACATCGCAGAGGACAATTCACCTAGCAACAGCCTTTGTGGTACAAATAAACAAACATGCATATATGCATTGACTTTTATACATATAGATGTAGATACTATCCATGTCTACAACAGAAGGAGCTAGTGTGATATCGTGGTTTGAGTTGGGGTAGGATTCAGTAAGAAGAGGCTGAAAGGGTGAAAATCCCGGTTCACTCATGGGGCACATCTACACTGAGCATTTAATGCAATTCCAAGGCAACTTGAGAGTGTTGTGTTTAAATGATGTATGCCTCAAAGATGCACAGAAATGTGCATTAAGGGCTCTAAACAGGAATAAACAAAGTTGGGGATACTCCGAACTGGAACTCTTAATGCAAAGCAGCACATGGGAAAACCGTTTAAGGGACAGGCACTCCACATGTGTCTTGGGGTGCTGGGAAACAAAAACACCTGTTTCCCCCCACTGCTGTGAAGCTGCAGATCCTCAAACCAGGTCAAAGCCAGCCTCTGCAATACGTATAGGCAATGTCCAGGCCTCAACCCAGTTCCAAGACTTCACATGTAATCACATTGAACTTGCTTCTTCCTCTGCTGATTCCACAATTTTGGATTTCAGTGTCTGGGATTTTGAAGGGATGTGTAACCTGTCATGGAAGGAAACCTTTGACTAGTTGGAGGAGCCCTGCAACTATTTATCATGTCAGAAACAAATTGAGACTACAGTTGTCATGTATAAAAAAACACACGGTTAAAAACTTGGCATTATGTTAAATTTCCTTTAACCAGAAGCTGACCACTTAAGTGCCTCTTTTGTCGCTGTAAGAAGGTCGTCCGTTGTGCATGTGGAGGACCTTCTCCACTCTTGCATGCCGTGGACTCCACTTTTTGTAGCTCTGTTTCTTAAGGTTGGCTCTGCATCTTGTGGTGCCAGAGCACAGCCTGTCACCCAGCCTTCTGTGTGTTCAGGAGGGAGTTTCTCATCTGGTATCAGCCACTGATTTGAGGTTCTGGGTTTTAGCCTACCACTTTTGGACTCTAGTTTGCTGAGGTGTTCCTGTGAGTATCTTTAGATCTTAGGAAGCTGTTTCTTGATTTAAGTCATTGGCATGCTGGCTGATATCTAAACAGGATGGGCCTTCAGCCCTGCAACTGAAGGTTCATCACTTCTGTGGGAGAGCCAACAGTTCATTTTCAGAGATGGATGAGAAGGTTACAGTTCTGTTGGTCAGATTGTTTTTAAAAGCAATCAGATTTCCTTTTAAAGAAATACAAAACTAAAGCCAACCTTTTAAACTGCAGTGTGGCTATGGGCTACAGGTGCACAGGAATGTCACAATTCTTGCTTTACTGATAAACCTAATGTTAAATAATTGGTTGGGCATATATTGTTTGTGCATTCTACATAAAATTTGGTTGAATTTCAGGATTGTTTGGAAGGTCTTTAGACTTGATTCAGAAGAAATGTGGTCTGTGAAAAGAAAGCATGTTGCTGTAGAATGAAATACATTGTTGTGTGCCTTCAAGTAGTTTCTGGCTAATGGCAACCGTAAGGCAACCCTATCATGGGGTTTTCTCTGTAAGATTTATTCAGAGGGAGGTTACCTTTGCCTTTCTCTGAGCATGACAGAATATGACATGCCGAAAGTCACCTAGCTGCAAAGTGAGGATTCAAATACCGATCTCCAGAGTTGTAGACCAAAGCTCCAGTCACTACTCCAGATGGGCTCTAAACATGACCAGCATTGAATTTAATTGGTTTGTGCTCTCCTGAACATGCAGCAGTAGCACACACAGGTATCCCTGTATTGTGGATTCCAATTCAGAAGTGTGGACTGGTATCAAAGGCAGCAAGGCATTGCCTCATAAACCTTTGAAGGATGAGCTTCATCCAATTTCATATTCAAATCAACTTGAAAATATAGCCGCTTCACCTTTGATGACATCTGCTCCTCATCATGAGATGAGATGTCCCTGAACAGGTCATGCTGGCTTTTAAAAATTTCTAACCAATGTTTGTACAAGCTACGAGGAGCTTCTAACACTTGTGTTTCTTCTTGTGAGCATGCATTATACTGTGATAAACCTCTCCTAGAATGTTAGATTAGATACAGATCAGGGTGAGGAATATGTGGCCTTCCAGTGGTTGTTCAACTGCAGTTTCCATCATTCTTCATTATATGGGGGATAAACATGTTCATATAGAGATGAGATTGGAAAGTCCTTGATGCCTGAAAACTGAGCATGTCTAAGCCCATTAATTTCAATGGGTTAGAACATGAAGATTTTCATGAGATTCAGCCCTGAAGGATTAAAGACTGTTTAATAAGATCAGTAGCTTGTTGTAAACTTGTGTTCAAGTATTCAGTGATTTACTTCTAATCTGCTACGATGGTGTGACTTTGCCAGTTACTTAAATATCATATTCTACCCTCAATTAGGATAAGTTCAAGACTGATTCTAGACATCTCTATCAACTAAAAGGCTATTGATGAGAAAAGGAATTAATTGTTTGGCATGTCATACTTCAGTGAGGTATTTGTTGCCTTCTGCCCTTTGCTCCCACATCTTAGTGTAGGGATTTGAGAATGAAAGGTACAGATCAGGTCTTTGTTCTTGGATGAAATTGACCATCTGGATTCATCGCAGTCTGGCTTCAGACCAGGTCATGGAACTGAGACAGCCATGGTCACCTTAGAGGATGATCTCCGTAGAGAGCTTGACAGAGAGTATGCCCCTGTTGGTTCTCCTGGGGTTGCCCTTCGATACAGTAGACCATGGTATCATTCTGAGTTGCCTCGCAGGGATGGGTCTAGGGGGAAATGTTCTGCAGTGGCTCCGGTCCTTCCTGGAGGGAAGCCATTGTCCTGTGGTGTCCCGCAGGGCTCGGTATTATCCCCCATGCTGTTTAACATC